ACAGGGAGGGGACAGGGGAGGACGGCGACAGGGCTGATGCCAATGTAGGTACCCGCATGCCTGGGAGCTGCCAACACTGATCCGGGTGAGCATCGAGAGTGGGCGCATGACCCATCACCACCCCACAGGTGGGTGCCACGCAGGAGGGGACAGGGAGGAGGGGACACTGGAGCCCCTCTGAATCCCCTGTCCCCGCAGGGTACCTCGGGGCACTGGCAGTGGCCCTCTTTGGGGCGCTGGGGGCTCGGGGGGAGCCCCCAGAGCGCTGGGGGGCCGAGCTGCTGCGGGTCCTGCCCCTCGCATGGGACTACGTGGAAGGTGCCGGGGTGGCCGTGGGGGACAACGCTGCTGCCTGGCCCTTCTTTGGAGATGCCTGGCACCGGTGAGGGGGTACTGGGAGGGTTCTGTGGGGTCACTGGGAGCACTGGAAGGGGTTGGGGAGGATACTGGGAGGGGCTCGGGGCGTCACTGGTGTCACTGACATCTGCAAGGCTCTCTCCCAGTCCTGGCAGCGCAGCGCACCGGTGTCACTGGTGTCGCTGCTCTGCGCCAGCACCTCGATGTCCCCAAGTGTCCCCTGCCCCACTGCCACTGGTGTCACGGCTGACTCTGGTGCCCAGTCTGCCCGCAGGGTCACCGGTGCGCATCCTGTCCCTGCTGCCCCCAGTGTCCCCATGTCCCCAGTGTCCCCACCAGTGCTGCCATCCTCAGCTGTAGAACTGTGGCCCAGGGCCACTGAACACCCCACTGACCTCAGGGTCCCTGATGTCCCTGCTGCTCTTGCTTTCCCTGGTGTTACTGGTGTCCCCACTGCATCCACTGCCATGATGCCCACAGGTGTCCCAATTGTCCCCAGTGTCCCCACAGGTACCTGGTGTCACAGGGACCACTGGAGAGCCACAGCCTGGTGACCCCCAGTGTCACTGGTGACACCAATGACCCCAGTGTCCGCAGTGACACCAATGTCCCTGGTGACTCCAGTGTACCCATGTCTCCAGCGTCACTGATCTCGGTGTCCCTGCTGACCCCAATATTCCCAGTGACCCCAGCGTCCCCATGTCCTCAGTGACTCCAGTGTTCACAGTGACTTCAATGTCCCCATGTCCCTGCAGGTACCTGGAATCCCGG